TTTTTTTTTTTTTTTTTTCTTTTTTTTTTTTTTTTTTTTTCTTTTTTTTCTTTTTCTTTTTCTTTCGTTTCGCGAGCTCTTTTTGCGATTGTTTCATCGAGCGGCAGTCGGCGCGATCGGCCATCATTATTATTATCATTATTACTGCCGTGCTGCGTACACGTCTCTCGTAACTGCGCGCCGCGTGCATTCTTTCGAGCGGGTGATTTTGTTGTTAAACACTTTTTCTTTTTTTTCCAACCGATAAACAGACACGAAGCGACACGCAAAGTTCACCCGATGAGCCGAGGTGTTTTTTTTCCCCGGTGTCCGACCAACGCGGCTGTTTCTACTTACGTAAGCCGCATTGGCAAGTAGAAACAGCCGTGTCGGTCGGACACCGGGGCACGGGGTTGGGGGGAAATATAAACAGTAGAGAGAGAGAGAGATCTCACCTCCCGAGAGCAGTCCTGGTAGCCGGCCTTGTACCTCGACAGGCCGGGGGTCGCGAGGGAGCGCTGCCTCTGCAGGTGGCGCACCGTCAGCTCGAGGATGTCGGCCTTCTCGAGTTTGCTGTGCTTCGTGTTCTCGAGCCGGGCGCTGTCCAGTATCAGGGCCTTGAGCGCCGCCAGGCTCTGGTTGATCCTCAGCCTGCGCCTCTTCTCCATCGCCGGCTTGTTGGTCTGCGCCAAACAAACAAACATTTATGACATTTTTCAGGTTTTCTTCCCCCTCCCCCGAGAGTATATATTATATACCCAAAAAAAAATATATATATATAATTGTCCACTCGAAACAACGGAAGCCAACGCATGACGAATGCATTCGCGCGCGCCTTTTCTACACCCAACGGAGGAAGAAAAGAAAAAAAAAAAAAAGGGGGGGCGCCCACAGGCGAGTAGAAACAATGGCATATGTTTCGCCGCTGTCGTCGCCGTTGTGGGTATAAGAAAAATGCCTCCTCCTCTTGGCCCCTTGCGGCTCGTTTCAGGGTCTAAATTAATTATCGTCTGCGCCAGCTGCATACGCAAACGTAGCACCGTTGGTGCATAGTGAATGTATAGAGATTTTCGCCCGCTCCGGCGCCCGATGCATGAAAACCGCGGAAGCAAAAGGAGGAGGCCGCCGCGCGCGCCTTTCTACGTACAGAGAGACGAGCACACAAGAAGAAGACGAGGAGCCGCGCGAAGCCGAGAAGGAGGAAAAAAAAACAAAAACAAAACCGAGGTGCCTCGGCGCGAGTCACGGGATTCAAATAAGAATACATGGAGGAGGAGGAGCAGCCTTCCTTCTGAAAGAGCCGAGTTTTCCTCCTCCTCCTCCTTCCATATACTTTCTACTTGTTCTCGTCTTCTCTCTCTCTCTCTCTCGCCGGCAGTCTCTTTCCTTTCCACTTTACTTGGCAAAGTGCCGCGCGCCGCAGCCTCTGGCGTCACTTTGTGTAGGTATATATATATATATACGTATTGGTATACGCGTTTAAGCTGGCCGAGCCCGAGACCGAGGCTCGAGGAAAAAAAAAAGCAATGACCGAGCGAGAGATGACCCGCTGCTCGAGGGGGCCATCGCTATATACACTCACGGGTGTGGAAATTGTTTCAATAATATTCTTTGCTCTCCCACGGATCGATTGAACGGGTAATCGGGGGGGGGAGGGGTCTTGGCTCATCGAGCGCCCATTAACTTTGCACTTGTAGATCGATGGGTAATTTAACCCTCTATACAGAGTCAACATGTAGATTTACGCGGTGCGATTTTTCGATCGCGAAGAAAAAAATCAAAACTCAATCGGCCACAAGGGAGGAAAAAAAGAAAATAAAGGTCCCGAGCACCGCGTAGTGGTGTTATCCCCGTGCAACGTCATAAAATACACCCCAAAATAAAAACCACAGGCGGTCAAGCGAGACAATCACGGGAAAAGAAAAGAGAACAAAGAGAAGGGGGGAGGGATAATGGCACGAATTACGCGTATAGGTGCGCACATTATACCGGCGCTACTCGCAAACTAGAGCACCGGAGAGGCGCCCGCATTATATATATATATATATGTATATGTATATCCCTCACCCCTGCGATTGTGTCCGTATGTATACAATGCAGTGTGCCGCCGCTCTTTCGATAAAATATACAGTCATATATTTATATACATACATACTCAGCATCGCTGCGATGCACTTGCTCGGCCCGGCTACTCTTGCGCTGTTCATTATTTATTGTGCGTGTATCCATGTATAAAGGCACCACGGGGCACTGGACTATTGTATATTATATACCTGTGTAAACCTTTGCCGTGTCCGTACACACAAGTCACCGCAACACTGACCAATGCGGACCTTTTCTTTGTTTTTTCTTTTTTATTTTTTTCTTTTTTCACACTTTCGTACTCCTATCCGCAAAAGTTGCACGAGTCTATATACTTATTGTACAAAAGTTGGTGCTAAAAGTCATTCCTGTATACTTATACTTCCCTCTTTGTTTTTTTTTTTTTTTTTTTTTTTTTACGCGCGAACAGCCTCGAGATAAATTTCAAATCAACAGTATGGAGCGATCCCGTGGTTTTACCGCGCCGTCGATCGATGCGCCGTGCGTGTGTCTCTTATCACCCGGCAAAAGTTAAAAAACCGTCCATACACAGAGATCTCGCGAAATCGAAGGAAAAAAGAACCAAACCGCAGCTCGATCCAATTCGAAGCGACGAAAAAGTGTCGCACGCAGGCGGTAGATATAACTCGCGTCCGCCGAAGAAAACAAAAAAAAAAGGGGGGGGGGGAGATAAGGCACGTCAAGCCGGAGTTTTAATTCCAGTAATGGTTTACACGCGCAACGGGTCGCGTCGAGGGGGATACAGCGATAACTCGCTGTAAATAGTCCAATTACGGCAAATTGGAGGTAGCGCCGTAGTCGCACGCTCTTCCGATCCCGGTCAACCGCACGCGTTCCACACACACACCTACCCTCGCGAAACTTTGGCTCCTGTAAAACACACCGCAAGTTTCGCGCCACGCCGCTTCCTCTTGACATATCATCATAATCTACACGGGTGTGTACTTATATGTAAGCTCGGACGTTTTTTTTTTTACCCTCGTATACCAACATTTAAGATGAAACGAATAGAGAGCATTAATTGCCTTATATTTTTATTTATTGTTAGTTCACGCATAGTTTCGTTTACATTGACATGATTGGATGTTAATATTGAGAACAGTATAAGGATATCCCAAACAACGATATGTACCAAATGCTTCCTCGGCCAACTGACACATCACGTCGTACGCGTTTTTATAAAAATTATAAATATCCTGCCCGCAAAATGTCTCTACCCCATATGGATCTGCGCCTGTGGGACAATATATACCTATATAGAGAGGCCTTGCGATACCTAGCAAGTATCGCATAAGTATATATATATACCTATACGGCTGGGGCGTCTGGCTCATTAGGCCAGTGGCGCACGTGTGCCCATCCACCATTATACTCTGTAACGAGTATACAGATATAATATATACACGTATATGTTATGTCTCTCTTCGCATCGGGTCTCGAGTGGCCTGGGCACGACTCGTCTCCCCTCCCATACATTACACGCGCGGCGTTCTATACACCTCAACGCGGAGCCCACCGATATAACGTATACACCTATACATTGTGTAATTCATATTATTGTACGCAGTACAGGGGAAGGTTGGTGGGGGGGGGGATTCAGCCTTGCACGTGCCGTCACCCTTGCACCCATTATCATCCCCCAATGTATATGTGTATATACATCCCACGCAAAATTACGTGCCAGCTTGTTATATGAGCAGGCTGCTCATGTCGATGTACATACTAAATATTATATAGTGGAGATTTAGGCGAGGATTTGCGTATGCCTTGCCGATTGACGCTCCTGACGCACGCCCTTGCGTGGTAGGGGTCTTGATTTATTTATTTATTTATTTTTTTTTCCTCCCTACGAGCCACGGGGACGTATGTTTTGGGTTTAGGGTAGCAGCGCAGGTGCAAGTATACACCCCATGCATATGTGTATAACGATGTTTTGCCGATTTCGTCATTCGTGCATGGCTTCTATGTGGACAATCGGCCGTGTGAGGGTGTAAAAAAAAAAAAAAAAAAAAAAAAAAAAAAAAAAAAAAAAAATCTCTTGCAGTGTTTTTTGCTCAACGTAACCGATGACCGACCCAACTCGTTATTGTATGTAAAGGTACATTTATTTATTTATTTCCGTGTCCTTGCGCCACATCGACTTTGTACAACACGATCAAAAAATCCAATGCTAAAAATACGTAAAATAAATAAAAGTAACAAAAGGGAGTAGTTATATGTATATATACTTAAAAAAGTAATAACAGATGACGCCTACATTATATATATATATAAGTAGGGGTGGGGAGGGGTGTATGAATTAATGTGTACAAGTATCGGAAAAGCGGTGAGGGTCGACTCGGGCGGGTTTACCAGGGCCGCCACATGCCCTCCTCGTCCTTGACGGTCGGCTGCGAGAGCCCGGGCGAGGGAGTCCTCGTGGGCGTGGGCACCTGCGAGCACTCGGGCTTCTTGGGCTCCTCCTTGACGGGCTCGCTCGCCGCTGCCACAACGACCCCGTGGGACGAGTCCTCGGGGACCGGGTAACTGACCATAGCCGTGGCCAACTCGGGCTGTTGCTGTTGGGCCGCGTACCTCGCCGCCGCGGCCTTGAGCTTCTTGGCGCTGCTCGTCGTGAAGTCGAGGGGCTGCTCGGACTCGAGCCTCGACAGCTTGCCGGGCTTGAGGCCCGTGGACTGGACCTGGTCCTGCCAGTCGGGGGCCAGTTGGTCCTCGCCCGTGGGGCACAGCGGCCTCTTCATGAGCTTGTCGGTCGCTTTGAGCAGGGACATGTTGGTCGCCGCCCAAATGGCCGTGGGCGGGTTCGGCCCGATGCTTATCCCGTTGGCTGCCGCCGCCGCGGCCAACTGGACGTAGTGACTCGGCAGCAGGAACACCACTTGGCCGTCGGGCAACCGCGAGGGTATCACCTATCGGGGAGAGCCATCATTCACATTAGATTCTTCCTCTTTGTCTCCTATTGTATTGTATTTTATATATATATTATGTACATGCGTGAAATTGTATAAAGAACTCACCTGCACGACGGACAGCATGTTGGGGTTGGGCTGGCCGTTGGGGGGTTGGTCGGGATTGCCGGGGGCTGGGGCGGTGGGCGGGTGGAGTTGGCCAAAGGCCGAGGTGGGTCGACTGGTGGTGCCGTTGTTGTTGTTGTTGTTGTTCTCGTCACCGGGGAGGGCTGTGCTGCTGTCGGGCCGTGCGGCTACCTCGAGTTCCGGGAGCTCCTGCTTGACGAGGGCGGGGATGGGGTGGTGGTCGAGGGGGTTGGGGCTGGCCGGGCCGAGGACCCGGTCGGTGACGCTGCCCGGACTGGAGCCGAGGCCCGAGTCGGGTCGAGAGCCCAGGTCGAGGTCAAGCTCGGCCACGCAGCTGTCGAGGTGGCGCAGCAGCCGCTGCTTTATCGCCGGGTCCACCTGGGTTATCGTGCCCGTCGCTATGTCCGGGGTGTCGAGGTAGCGCGCCACCTGAAACACACACAAGATTTTTCCTCTTTTTTTTTTTTTTTTTTTTTTTTTTTTTTTTTTTTTTTTTTTTTTTTTTTTTTTTTT